TTGCTCAGTCAGGCTGAGCTGAAGGATTGCTGCTCTCAGATAAACCAGATAAACAAAGATTTCTCCCTCCTCCAAGGGCATCTGGAAATAGTGCAGTCAAGTTAATGGAGTTACACTAATATACAGCTAATAGCAAGAAAAGGCATAAGCCTGGGGTTACACACTCAGATTGGGCAACCTATCAGCCAAAGTAAAGCCTTCATGAAAACTTCTAATGGGAATTTATTTTCCAGATGCCCATTTGCAATTTTATAGCCACTGCTTTGGCTCCCTTCTCCACTCATTTCCATTCCTGTGGCTGCAGCAGCCTCTGTGTATTTACAGCAGAGAGCACAACGTGACCTTTGTCTTTTCAAGAATTTGGCCAGGAAGGTTGTGCAGCTGCTCGCGGATCCAGGTGCTGAGGCCCACAGCCAAGAGTGGCTCGGACATCAGTGGAAGTGCAGCCTTCACACCTGCTCACCTGAGCTCTCAGGCAGAGCCAACAAACATTGCCCCACCCTGCGCCCTCCTGCCACCTCTGTGCCCAGCACTCTCAAGGAGTGTCTTCTTCTAGAATTGCCCTTCTCTTTCATTTTGTGTATTACCTGCAGTGATTTCTATGTGGAGAGTTAAAGCACAAAGAGCTAGATTAGAGCACTTTTGAAGAATATTCTCCAGTAGCTTTGATGTTGTAAGCTCCAGTTGTTCTCAAATTCAACTTTACTGTACATTAGGAGAATCCTAGTCTGTAAATTGTGAAGCACAGTAGCTGCCACAATAAAATCTTAACATTTGATAAGCAATGTAATTTATCATTGGCTAGCTGGTACCACTATATTTGTTCTTCTGCAAGCAGCAAATTATTCAAGTGTACCATACTTGGATAATACTCTGAAGTTTTGAGCCCCCTTGTAATTCAACAAATGAAATTAAATCCCGAAATCTTTCTCTGAAAAAATAGCATATCCATAATATATGAACTTCCCTGTGAACTTATGAACCATGCTCAGCTTTTTCTTTGAAGTTCAAGAAGATCTAATCGAAAAGCCAAGACTGAGCAAAAAGGTTATTGGAAAGTTATAGGTGTATTGAGACTTTTTAATAGGGATGTTGGGACTACCATAAGAACTATAGGTATGGGCCTGATAAATGAAGACTGTTCAGGGGTTTACAGCTGGACTTTTTCCTCTTTCTTTGCACTGCTGCTTACACCTAGTCCATGAGGAATAAAAGTAAGGCAGATTAAGAAAATAAATATCAAGTTTTGAAATAATATTTAGTTCTGCTCTAGCTCTTACTTCAAAAATGCTAAAAGTCTTTATGGTTGGATGTACAGTTGTGAAAATTCAGGTATTTGGATGTTTGTTTGCTAAGTTTTATAGTAAAATATGATCTGTTTTTCTTAACTTCGCATAAAGACTCACTCCTGAAAGACAGAAATCATCCTGAGGGAAGCAAGTGGCCTTTGCTCAAATTTAAGTAGCTACAGTGCAGGGCTGGATAGTCTCACACACTTCTCCACCAAGGCCTTTGTCAAAGTCTCTAGGAACCCCATACTTTTTCCAATGCCACTGTCCTCCTGTAATTATAGTCTAAGAGCTGGCTTGTCCCTAAGAACCCAGTTTTATGGGTTTTCAAAGCATCAGAAGCTTTAAGAGATTTTTACTTCCCGTCCACAAATTACAGACAATGCGATTAAAAAGGAGCAAGACTATGCCAGTCCAAGTGCTACTTTCATATTCCTCCTACCCCACAAGGGATTGAAAAAATGGAGTCCAAGGATGGGAATGGACTGTACCTGAGACAAGGGTTATACAGTGGGAATTCTGTAGCCTTTATAAAACACCTGGCATGCAAAATTGATAATGTTTCAGTCTGGTGCTTAAATCCATCCCTATGCCTGTCTTCATTCATCAGCACCTCCTCATCAAGAAGTTTTATGAAATATTCCGTTTTTTCCTTCTTTGGGTAATCTTTTTGACTTGTGCTTTTAATATTTAATAATTACCCACACATGATTTAACCCTGCTACAAATGAGATTTCAAGTCAGCATCTGCTCCAACTTCATGTTACTCAGAGACTTCTGATGACATACATATGTGACTTGTTTTGCCAAGTCTGCATACTCCAACAGCACAGCTTCAGAAGTAACTTCCACTCCCTCTCTCCTCTCTCCTTCTCACATGTGTTTGTTCACAACATATTCAGTCCTTTCCCTAATCTTTCTCTTGTTCAGGCACCAAAAATAGCTTTTATAGCTTGATAACAAATTTTATATCCAGGCCAGCAGTTTTGAGATAAATGATGATTTTCATTTATTGTTATTACTGTTGTCTTAAGACCTGGGTTTAAGATGGATGTTGCATTCACAGAAAATACTGGATAAAATTCTGCTCTGATCGGAATCACTGGAGTTTTTCAGCACTGACTTCCGTTAGGACAGGCTTTCCTCACCATCTTTGTCACGGGCTGGGCAATATTGAATCCTGCTTTTCTGAAACTAACTTTTTTTATTTCCTTGCTTTCTCTTAATCAAAGCAGAATATTAAAATAATCCACCAGGGATCCTCCAGTCACAGAGACAATGAAAGGTGAATCTATCTTAAGTGGTAAGAGGAATTTCCCTGATGTTGCCCATTTACACACAAAGGACAAGCCTTAGGTGAATCAGCCGTTGCTGTCCTTTGACCGGTGATACAGGCCATAAAATCAATGAACTGAGATAATTTGAGGAGAAAAACCTCTTTTCTATCTTCTTCCACAGAAAGGAAAAGCAGACTTGAGACTAAAAATTGGTATTTCTCTCCAGTTTTCCAAAAATATCTCCCAAAACACAAGACATGTCAAGTGGTTAATACCTTTTGAACTTTCCTTTGAGCTTTCCTCTGTGGTTAGGGCCCTCTGAGCCTGCAACGTAGCAGCTGACAGTGATTAAGTTTCTGTATGCACACACAGTTCAAACTGCACTTAGAAAAGCCACATTTGGTCATTGTTTACTTAAGTTTGCAGCAACAAATACAGATGCGTGGATTTGAATGTACACCTGACATTAATCAGCTGCTGCTATTTCACAGCTGCCTCCAAGCAAGGCAAAATGCTCGAGTGGAAATACAGTTTCAGAATAACCAGAAATCTTTAAGGGACTCACGTGGAGAAGGGAGAGCCTCCCTTACAATATTGCTTCCAGCTTGTTTCAGTCTTCACAGTAAGGTTTTTTTCTGAGTTAAATCCCTCCTTATATGAAGAGATTTACAGTTTTTCAGCTGAAGAGTGTGTATATGTATGTATGTATGTATGTATGTATGTATGTATGTTTGTATGTATGTGCATATACAAGCTTCAGGAATCTGCACAGACCCTGCCTAAAACTGGAAAGGGCCTATACTTGGCCCATGCAGGGGCCAAGGAGACCTGAAAAGGCAAAGAGTGGTAATACTGAAGTGGTGCCCACCTTTTCTAACACGTTTTAGGAGATATCCAGTGCTGGAGGTGTAATACTACCTTTGTCACTCAACCCTAGACATAACAGATCAGAGAGGGTTTAAAAAATTGTTCTAGTTCCTATCACAATTGAATTTAATTCAGTCTCATTTCTTGTTGTTGATGTGGAAGGACAGCTGATTCTGAGGACAGGAGGACAGGGTTGCCTGGACAGCCAGCGCCAGCTGCTGCAGGGAGACAAGCAGGTGCCCCAGCAGCCTAGGTGAGGCCATCCGTCCATCCATCCATCCATCCATCCATCCGTCCGTCCGTCCGTCCGTCCATCCCCCCATCCCCCATCCTGCAGCACCAGCACAGTGGGCTGCAGACTAAGTGGGTCACTTGTTGCAGGCACGTGCTACCTGGGCTCACAGCATCTTCCCAGCCTGCCAGACCCTGCCAGATGGAGTTTAGGATGTTTGGCTCTCAGCTGCAAGCCCCAGTGGGGACTTCCCACGTTTGCAATGTCTTTCTCTCTCAGCCATGAAATATCCTGCGCTGAGTTCAGCAGAAGCACTCGGGCTGAGAAGGTCCTTCCTCCAGAGCAGACCATTCCTTCTGGAAAATAATTTTCTTTGGGTATAAAGCAGCCAGTTTGTTTGGGTTTTAAGTTTTTAAAGTTGTTGCAACAGCAGGCATATCTGAGGGGGCAGTGCTGAATATTTCAGGCTCATTAGGCAGCAGCAGTTGTTGATCATCAGCTGCATAAGGTATTGGTAGCATGTAAGGGAGGGAAAACAGGCATTCGTCAGTGACAGCTCACTAACCAGGTCTGACAAATATATTTATCTGTTCTCTGGTTAGATGGTGAACAATGTGTGAGTTTTGACAAATTTACAATATTTCTGATAAATAGCTAGGAAATGAAAACTGAATTTGCAAAGACAGTAAAATCAAGAAACACAGTTCAGCTCCTGAAGACCTTCAATCTGAGGTTGAAGAGGATAAATGCAAGTCAAGCAGTTATATATACATATATAAATTACTGGGAATATTTATCTCATCCAAGAATACAGATAATTTACCCAGTTCTCTCAATTTAGATCATAATCTGGATAGATTATATCTTCTAGATATATAAAAAATATATGCTGCTTCTTTGTCTTTCATTTTATTATTATTTTCTACTTAAATTCTTTACTTTTTTGTGTGCTAAAAGAACCTATAGCTTTCAGAAAAGAGAGCAATATGTAATTACTGCATAGATAATTTAACACAAGGGAAAATCCTCCATTCTTCGTTACCTCTCAGAGAGTGCCTACACTGCAAGCACCAAAGGGACTGCAACGTGGGTAGGTAAATGCAAATTCACAGAGTCATGGAATCACAGAATGGGTCAGGTTGGAAGGGACCACAGTGGGTCACCTGGTCTGACCTCTCTGCTCAGCCTCACAGGGCACATGGCACAGAATTGCATGCACACTGTTCTGGAATATCTCCAGAGACAGAGACTACACAACCTCTCAGGGCAGCCCGTTCCTGTGCTCCATTACTTGCACAGTAGGGAAGTTCTTCATGTTCAGGTGGAACTTCCTGTGCATCAGGGTCTCCCCTTTCCTCTTGTCCTCTGGCACCACTGAGCCAGCCAGAGGCCTGGCTCCATGCTCTTGATGTCCTCTCTTCAGATATTGATAGACTTTGATGGGATCCCCTCTCAGTCATCTCTTCTCGAGGCTGAACAGCCCAGATTCCTCAGCCTGTCCCTGTAGGAGAGATGCTCCAATCCCTTAAACATCTTTGTTACCCTCCTCTGAACCCATTCCAGGAGCTCCACCCATTTAATACAGAATACCTTGTATGTTTTTAGATAGCAGATGACTGAACCATTTCTCTGCCATTTTCCAGTTACCAACATGAAGAGAAATATATGTGTCTGTGCACATATTTAATCTCTTTATACTGGACTTAGACAGAGATAATGAGCATGGACCATGAGAAAGCTATTGGTATGAGCAGAACCCAGCTCCATATGATGCTGTGGGACACCTCTTGTCTTATGACCTACATTTTGGAAAAATAAATATGCAACAGATTTGTGGCTATTTATCTTCACAAATACTTCTTTTCTGCAAGGTCTTTTCTGTATCAGTGGATGTGGGATTTTGCATTGCGTAAGAAAACCCCATTTTTCTATCTAAACCTATGACATTTAAATTCTGTTGGTAATGTTTTAGGTTTTTTCAATTACCCTTTTCTTACCAAAAGACACCTCCTTTGCTGTTTCATGAAGATAGAGGGTGTCCCTCACAAAGAGACTAAATTTCTGTCTGAGGGTCAGTGAAATTTGCTTTACAGCTGAGATAAGCCCTTCTCCTGCATATCTTTATAAACCATTATCTATGTTCATCCATGTGTTGAAAAGCTACTTGGGATTTAAAGCTTGTTCAACATGTTAAGGGCCAATTGCAGTTCATCAATATGAAAGTCTATTAATTAGTATTTGTGACATTGGAATTTACAGACAAAACCAGATAAATAACTCCACAATCTTTTGCGAGCACAAAGGGAAGCTCAGTGTTCATCTTAGTGAATACTTATTGATCTGGGCATCACTATTTTATTCAGATGGGATATTTTCTCAATATTCAGAAGTTTTACAATAATGGAAATAGAGTTGCAGAAAATAGATTACTTTAAGCATGAACTTAAGAGTTTATCAGTTATCATAAATCATGGAACAAGTTATAGTCTCTTGTGGGAAAAAAAAAATTAATCATATTTGTTAACGCCTGGATATCTGGAATGCAGGTGCCTCCATCTGACACAGTCACACCAAGAGCCCTTTATAGCTAATAGGGGGAAGGTTGGCCTTTTGAGTTTTGCAATTGCTCTGATTTTCTTTAGGTATTTATTAATGTGTCTTAGAAATGTATCTTTCTCTCTGCAGGCCATAAAAGCCTAGACAATCAGCTCAAATGCTGGCATTTCCACTGCAAATGTCTCCTTTTGGCCAGAGAAGTACTGCCCTTGGAGTTTACATTAGTAGTTAGTGATCTAAAATGGTTCAGAGTGTAATGGATAAGAAAGCATCTCTCTGGTCCCTGACCATTTAACTCTCTGTGCAGAAGCAAACTAGTAACAACAGCTTTATTGCTGTTGATGTTTTTGTAAGTCACCTTTCCTGGTGTAACTGTTAACATGCATTTGGAGTACATTATACCTTTGCCATCACTTTGAACTTTTCCCTCAATGCTTGATGTTTATGCCTCATGTAAAGAATTCCAGGCTGGTGAGAGGGTCAGGCTCTCAGCGAGGGTCAGCGAATGCAGCGCGTTTTCAAATGCACGGACTCCGATCAGTGTACTTAAGAGCTCCAGTACGTCGCTCTGCAATCACGTATCTCAGAAATAATTTATACAATCAATTAAAGAGCATTATCAAGGGATGATTTGACAACTGTTGCCATGCCAACCAATGAAGCAGAAAGCTCCTCAGCGTTTAAAGGCTGCACCTGGTGATAGATATAGCAGATTTTGAGGACTCAGACAGAATCGCAGATGTCCAAAGGTGTGGTGGGAACATGATTTAAAGCTTGATGTTTTTCCATTTTTACTGGCGAAAGGGTGTTGATGGCATGTTGTTCACTTTCTCATTAAAATTCTGTCATTTTTCACAAAGTGTTCCGCATTCAGGGCTGAAAATTGAAGTGAGAATGCACTTTACAGACTGATAAAATATGATAGCAAAATGGATGATGTTCATTTGCAGGCTGAATTAATTAAAAAAAAAAAGAGTTTGTGTCAGTGCATTTATGAAAAGCCCGTTAATCAAACACAACTTTACCAGCCTTAATGGACACATCTTAAACACTCCTGCATTAATATTTAAAATTCCAGTTAGTAAATGGCTCCTAGTGCATTGAGCTAAAAACTAATTAGAATAGGTCATTACAAGAATAAAACAGTACAAGCTGAAAGTACATCTTCCTTGGCAACAACAGGTTAGTCATTGGCTGCTCAGTCCCAACATTTGTGCTTACATCTTTACCTATACAGTAGCTCCACTCTTAATCAGAAAATGAATTCTGCAAAAGGAAAATTTCCTCATATCCTCCTATGCCATTTACATATTCTCAAGCTGCAGGAATTATGGTTAAAACTTCTGGTCCATGTAAGTTTGGAGTCTGGAGCAGCCCCTTTTTCATACATTGTTATGGTTATATCTCAGAATAGCAGTTTTGGGTTTGCAGTAGGATACTGCAGATCAGGTTACTGTAAATTCTCTGAGGCAATGTCTTATGATGAACTTGTGGTCTTGAAACACTGGGGCACTTACCTTGGTTGAGGTCCTTTGAAATACAAAGTAAATAATGTGTGTGCAGAGACATGAGGGAATAGTTTCTCACAAGAATGGAAAACTTGCATAACACCAAATTCTCATTATAATTTTTTTACATAGAGAGTCCAGAGTTATCCCTGTAAACTATTTCTGGGATGCTCCTCTTGACCCTAATCTAATGAAAACTGTTAGAGAATGGTTTTTTGTCATAGGTAAACCTATTTCTTTGAATAGTTTTGTTATATAAACTGCTAAATATTGCTTTAAAATCTGTTACACTCAACTGACTTGATAAAATAAATGATTGGCTCTGTAAATTATTGGTCTTTTTCTACTTTTCTCTCACTGACAAAGTCCTGTATTGTCCCTATTTCTCCACTCTGTAAAGACATCCGTTTTGCAAAGTTAGGATCCTCCTTGCTAATCCAAACATGTAAAAAACTGAAGTTAATTTTAAAAAATTGTATATTTAGATGAATATCTAAATATACAAATTCAAACACATATGAAATAGAACTCCCCGGTCCCAAGTTGTCCACTGCTACCACAGGTATGTGCATCACCTCCCCCATTTCACAGAGCTGTGGCAGCCAATTTTTCAGGCTATTTGAGAACCAAACTCCCTTTTTGACTTTAAACAGCTCTTAATTTCCCATCTTTATTCACAGATATGTTGTCAGATAGGCTATTAAATGCATTTTCATGGTCCATCTCATGCCATCATTGAACCACGCCCCTCAAATTCTTTGATCTTAAAAACTGACCATGAAAACAAATTGTTTGGGGAAAACGCCTGCAGAAATTTGGAAGCAACATCAGGGACTCCAACCCTTACAACACTAAAAAGTATCCCTTTCTTCTGGGTCTTCTGGTTTTGTTTGCATTTTTATTTTCTTGTTTTGATTTGTTTGGGTTTTTTGTTTATTTTCCTTCTAATAGGTAGAAGTCAGTGCCTATTTTGTGTGTGAAGATAATGCAAAGCAAGTTCACATACAAAAGTAGATTATCAAGAGGCAAACTGAGTGTTTCTTTATCTCAGAGTAGAAGAAATTGTGAAGCTGTGACTCTTATGCAAGCCTGTGTACTGACAATATCTCAGTTCTTCTAGCAGCCAAATGACCCAAAGACTTAGATAGGTGGGTAAGGACATTTAGGTTGATTGGAGAATATTTTAAACTGAAGTTATCAATCTAATTCTGGTTCCTGTTTCTGTGCACAAATGCCTGCTTGCCTAAGCCATTCCATTTGCTTCTGTTGTGTCCTTTTTCATGCTCTACCAGAACAAATCCTGGCATTTCAGAAACAAAACAAAAAAAAATCTTTGTTCATGTTTCAATGCATTTGCTGAGATCTCAGATCCTTACCTGCCTTCAACAAGGATGGATGACCCACAGTGCCATTAACAGATGTTAATGTGGTATCTTGCTGCAGATTGAAGATGCAAGTTCAAGAGATGCTTCAAAGGTCTGGCCCAACTGTAAGCAGGTACACAGTAATTTGGGATGCAGGATTAGGTATGTGCTTCCTCTCAGTGGGATTAACTACAGCTGCTTGATTGTCTTACTCCAATGGGCCATGCTCCATGCATAAACAGAGGGGTGGAGGTCTAAAGGCAAATTTGAGGGATGTTTTGCCTGGGAATAATCTTACAATTCTCTCCCATCTGCAAGGTCTCAAATCTGCCCCTTAGGTTTAGGCTTAAGTCCCAGGCTTTCCTTAGAGTTGCTCTAACAACAGTGGAAACTGCAAAGAGAAAACTTCCACATGGTCTTTGGGCAGCAGAGCCTCATTTTCCCTTTCTCTGTTTTTTTTTTTTTTTGGAGAAAAAATCCCCTAGCATCTCACCAAGAACTCAGCTGCTGTGAGATCCTGTTGGATATTCATGATTTCTGGCTTCATATGAGGATTTGAACCTCAAAAGCAGGTTCCCAGTTCCCCCAGGCCATGCAGGTCTGCTCAGGGAGGCGGGATGCTCTCCTCCCAGTGTATCAGGGTCCCCCCTGCCCTCTGCAGCCTGCTGAGCCCCCCGAAGCTCAGAGACAACCTCACCAGCACCAGACTGTGGCTTATCTGACTGCCTGTTGTGCACAAGAAGTGAAGCAGCTTGAGTGTTTTAGCATGATTAACTCTGCTAGAAATGATTTCCAGTCTTCAGAGTTTGGTCTTTGGAGATGTTACAGGCTCTGCACAAGCCTTTTCCTGTGTTAGGCAGAGGAGTTGACTCAGACATCTCCCTGGGGTGTAGAGAGTGACTCTGAAGGTTGGAAGTGTATGTAGGCACCCATACATCCACTTTTCATCTACATCATCTGTTTAAATGATGTTTACTGGCTTTGTTTCACAGCTTAAACATTTTTTATATATTCACTTTTATTTGTTCTTATTTTAAATTCTCTTTCTGAACTTCATATTAACATTCATCTAAAAATTTCACACCACTCCTGCCTCAGGAGAGGAGTCTGAACAGTGGGCTGCAATCTCACCTTTTGTGTTTTCCTAATCCAGAGAAAGACAGTTTATCTGCTGCATGGTGACATGGTTTGAAAATCAGTTGAAAAAAATTCCTCTTCAGCACCCCATGGCCTAAAGTTTGTGTTCTCCTCTCCAAGAGACAGTGTTAAGTTTGTTCTCATAGAGGCACAAGAGAAAAATTTAAATCTGCACTGTCACAAATGACTGCTACCTTCTTGGCTGCTCTAGAAAGACAAAGGGCTGGAAAGCCAGTGCACCATGGTCTTTAAAGTACAGTCATAATGTCTCCTGTGATTTTTATGGCATGAATTTTATGCTGAATATGAGGCATACTATAAGAACTTCGTTTTCTACTTGTCTTTTCCGTGGTGCCTTGCTCCTGATGGCTTTGATGGGTCAAGGAAAGAGCTGACAGCTCTGACCTAAAATTTAGGAAATTACCTGTATGCAGAAGCCAAGCCCTTATGGAGCTTCTGTGCCTATAGGGTCAGCTAGCAGGGCAGCACAACTTCTGGGTCCTAACCTTAAATTCTGGGCTTTCAAGTCCTTTGTTTGTCCTGCATCACCAACTTATGTCCCTACTGGCCTAAACCATGAGTGCCACTTGCTGGCAGAAACAAGCCTGGAGTCATCTGCAAACATTTTCATCTTATTTGATTTCAAGAGAACTGGGCAAACTAAATATAACATTCTTATTGTAAATCAGCACTTGAGTTTAAAAGATGCATTGACTTCCAGTTTTCTGAAGATCTTTCAGCTCATCTGTCTTGTTTTTGCATTATGGTATAGGAAATGCATCCACATGCTCACATCTCAAATCAGAGATGCTAACAGCCTACACCATTCCAAGTCTGTCACCATATCCAGCCATATACCAGCATATTCCTTATTCTTTTTATAAGCTGCACTCCCACAAACAAAATTTTTGTGTAGTCTTCAGTTTTAAAAGGGTAGCAGGGTGTTTCCCCAGAATAATTGTTCAAGACACACAAAAAATTTGGAAAAAAACCCCCTAAAAACCAATGTTGTCTTGAGACAAATGTACAGAGTCTACTGTTATTTATATTGTGTGACAAATTAAGCAAAGTAAAATCATATTAATTAACCAAACACCTTCATTTGTGCAACCTAGCACAATATGCACAACAGCATATCTTAAGAAAGCTCCCATCTTGGGCTGGGTTTGTATTTAAAAGCAGCATATGTGAAAGGATTCAATTAACGTTCTTATATCTCATCAGTTTCTGATAATTAATATGAGCTGTAAGGGCTTTATGGATTGCTGGTTTGATAATTCAGTAGCAGCTAAAGTAATAGAGGATATGATGGAAAGACAGCCTCATAGCTGCCTTGTGGAGTGCACTAAATGATTGAACCCGAAGAATAATAGGGATGGAAATTGCTGTGCTCATTCACGGATAATATATGACAGGAGTAAGGCAAGCAGTAAGTTAGCAGATGACTCAGCCAAGCATCTATGACTGAACAAAGTGTGATTCTAACCTTCTGTCATTGAAAATATGTTTAATGGAAACATTATCATTCTGATATATTGCTTGCTAAGATAAGACATGTTTATAGTACGGTTGCCCTGTGATGTTACTATAGGACTCGATTTTGGCACACTTGATCTTGCTGAAATGTACTTCGTCCCAAAATAAATCTACTCCTCGTGGAGCAAGAGACAATTCAAAAAGAGCAAGTGAGCCAAAAGCTGGTCCAAAGTTGGCTGGAGCTAAACTTCACCAGGCAAATACAAAGAATCCTATTCATTTTTAATATGCAGAGAGGAAGGTCTCTATAAACACTGAGAGCCACATGTAAGGTTCTTCTTTTGTCATAACTCTTTCAACCTATAAGTAGAAAACTGGACAACATAATTTATTTTTTTAATTAACAAATATGAATGGCCACATGCCTCAGATGCAGATCAAAGGAACAGGATGCTGAAGGGATGGATTAAAGTTAGCTGCCTTTTTCCTGTGCCTGGGAGAGCTCAGTTTGTAACATTTTTTGATAGAAGCACTCAGGTGTTCAGCAGCAGAATAGAGCATGAAGCCTAGAGTGTTGCATTAAAGTAAAACTTGCTGAAGGTAGGGGGAGGAGGATAAAACTGAAGCATGATAATCTCTAGAGCACATTATACATGTATGCTGGTCAGGGATGGCTTGCAGCAACTCTGCAGTACTGTGCAGCAGTGCCCTGCCAACAGAAATCATGCTGAAAACATATGTTCTTCTGCTCAAACCAGCTTTCACTACATCTGGAAACCAAGAGTTAGAGGGGGAGGGATAAAATAAAGCAGCAGCATATGTAATTCTCTTCTAAGAGAAACCATTCATTTGTTCATGAAAGAAATCTTTCTGCTTTTATCACCAGCAGAAATTCTCACAAAGTTCTTGAATGGATGTTTTAAAGCTTGGTGGGAAAACAAACAAGCAAAAAAAAAAAAGGTAGTGTGAGGGAATGTAGGTAATGGCAGACATTTATGACTTTTTTCCTGAAGTAAATTCATGTCTTGATATCAAGAGCAATCTTATTAACAAAAAGTGGAAAACTTGGCAAAAGCATTGTTTAAAATGACTGCAAGACTTGCAAAACCCCCAGAATAACTCTGTTTTGCTGTCAGAAGCCTGGGAAACACAAAACAGATGTTCTGCCCAGCCTCTGTTACTCAGCCAGATCGCTCTTTGCTATGCAGGCAGCTGTACCACATGTCTTTTCTGAGAAAGAAACAGTGCTTTCCTTTGGCACTTGTGCATCTTTCTCACTGACCAGGCAGACACTGTTGTCAGACAAAGACAGCTTCTGTCATCCTTCCTGCTACCTAAGTCTGCAGAATCTCCCTGAGACTGAGCAGCTCTGTGCTTTGAAAAATAGAAACATTAGGTACAAATTTTGGCAAGCCTTGGCTCCTCAGGCGATTGCTGGGGCTGCTGGAAGTCAGAAAGCACTACTCACTCTAATAGGTGGTGGCAGCAGAGCTCTCTGTTTGCACCCTGAACAATGCACACATTATTAGAGCTAATGGCAGCTACATGTACACGTAATAATATAACCTTGAGACTGCAGCCTGGGAATTCCACAAGAGCAGATTTGGGGTTTTTTGTTCATGGGAGAGAGTAGTGAGTAAGAAAGAGGAAAATCACTTGAGCAGAAGCTGAATTCTCCCTGCTGGGTTGCTTAAGAAGGGAGGGGTGAGGTCAGGGACTTCTGTCTCCAAATGACATTTGGGTGAATTTTAAGATACTATGTCAGAGCAGAGCAGAGGGGCAGAATCCCCTCCCTGGCTCTGCTGCCCACACTGTTTGGGTGCAGCCCAGGACACAATTGCCTTTCTGGGCTGCCAGTGCACATGGTTGGGTCAAGTCCAGCCTCTCACCCACCAGCACCCCCAGTCCTCCTCAGCAGGGCTGCTGTCAATGTGTTCATGCCCAGCCCGAGCTGATACTGGATGTTGTCCCAGCCCAGGTGCAGCACTGTGCACTTGGTCTTGTTAAACTGCATGAGGGGTTCAGCTGCTGCCTCGCCCTGAAGGCACGTGACACCCGCTGCTCAATATTTCAGGATGTTCAGCTTTCTCAGGCTGGGTGATGGGGTCACAAATCTGCATAGGCAGAAATGAATTTTTCACCAGGATTCACCACCTCCTCTCCTCAGTCCCCTAACAAATGGCTGGTGGTGCTTGGACTCCTCATCCCTGCCTTCCATGTGAAAGCGCTTCCTTAAGCATCTTGCTCTCGGTAAGTTACATCTGTGAATCCCCAGTGCTCTTCAGCATCTGGGATTCAGCATCCACTCTCTCTGGGGACACTTCCTTGGAAAAACACATGGTTATTTCATGTAGGCAGATTGCTGCCTCACATCTGGATATCTGTGAGTACCCTTCCCAGCCATAAACCTTGGTCAGAGGAGGGAAGTCTCAGAATCTGACCCTGAAATCTACAAAGAATGGTCTGGTT